ATGTGACCCATGCGGTGTTTATGAGAGGCATCAATGTGACCCACGCGGTGTTTATGAGAGACATCAATGTGACCCACGCGGTGTTTATGAGAGAGGCATCAATGTGACCCATGCGGTGTTTATGAGAGGCATCAATGTGACCCACGCGGTGTTTATGAGAGACATCAATGTGACCCACGCGGTGTTTATGAGAGACATCAATGTGACCCACGCGGTGTTTAATCGGTCAATGTTCCCATCTTGTCTTCAGACACATCCAACCAGTTCGCTCCCGTGGGCTCATGAACGTTCGGTAATGTACAGACTAATATAAACCTTGAGAGATATGTGAAGGGACTTACTTCTTCTGCAATCCAGACCTCTCTCGTACCGTTACACTCTTGCAAGAAACTAGTCGGTGTTTATCAGCCAACCATCCTTGCAAATTGCATGAAATCCGGGTTTTAGCGTCAGGCGTTGCCCGGGCTGTTGAACCTGGCAGCTGGCGACAATCAGCATAATGTTGACATTTGTATATATGTAAACGCAAGGGGCTGATAATTATCTATTTTCCTTGGCTTCGGGAGCCGGTCGGCCGAGCGGACAGCACGCTGGACTTGTGATCCTGTGGTCCTGGGTTCTATCCCAGGCGCCGGCGAGAAACATTGGGCAGTGTTTCTTTCACCCTATGCCCCTGTTACCTAGCAGTAAAATAGGTACCTGGGTGTTAGTCAGCTGTCACGGGCTGCTTCCTGGGGGTGGAGGCCTGGTCGAGGACCGGGCCGCGGGGACACTAAAAAAAAAAATGCCCCGAAATCATCTCAAGATAACCCACTCTATGCTAATACATTTTTTTTTGCTTCGTGAACAAGTTTAAAGGGGTTAAACATCTGGTTCAGAGAATCTGTTCTTGTTTAGTTATCATCGGAATGCATTTTGTTATTAACTATAACTATATGATATTTGCTGTGTATCCTGACGTTCTTGCAGGAAATGCAATGCTGCAAGTGCTATCTTAAGAGTGTAGTGTTTGAGGTACTGTGTTGCAAGTATAATACACTAGTACTGTGTAACACACACACAGTATTGCAAATAATGCACAGCAAGTAGTGGGGCAAGTACCGTGTTGCAAATATTGCATGATAAGTACAGCATTGAGAGTATTATTGGTTCATGCAATCTTCCATTTTCCCAACTTTGTTTTCATTGGGAAATGTTATTTATTATTTTTTAAGAAACCTGAGAAGAACTGATGACAAAAGCTGAGCCCGAACTCGGTTAAATCCTCACCTTGTAACAGGTGTTAATTGTGAGTGTCGGAGCTTTTATAAGTAGAGTAGATGTTCAACAGGTGGTGATCCTGGGCGTATCTGTGACTTGTGCTCCCTGCCTCTCACTCATTATCTTCAGGTGACTGTGGAGCAGCGGTTGTAATAGAGGCATTCGATTCGTGAAGTGGAGGCAGTGTATCATTTTCATTAATATGAGCTGTGTTATATGTAGAAGTATATATACAGTGACATGTACCTGTGGAGTTTTTCTCTCTTTCTTTCTCTCTCTCTGTCTCTGTCTCTGTCTCTCTCTCTCTCTCTCTCTCTCTCTCTCTCTCTCTCTCTCTCTCTCTCTCTCTCTCTCTCTCTCTCTCTCTCTCTCTCTCTCTCTCTCTCTCTCTCTCTCTCTCTCTCTCTCTCTCTCTCTCTCTCTCTCTCTCTCTCTCTCTCTCTCTCTCTCTCTCTCTCTCTCTCTCTCTCTCTCTCTTGATGGACTCTAAAGCTCGCGAAGGAAAGCGCTGTTGTAGCCTCTGGTTCCTACCTTCCCGAACCTGCCTGGGGTCTGCCTTCCAGCCTTTACCTCTTCCAGTGACCATAACCTTTGACTAACTTGTAATGCTTGTTTCAGATACGAAGAACAGTGTGGGTCTGGTGGGATGCATAGAGGAGATCGCCCACAACGCCATTGTCGTCTACTGGAACCCACTGGAGGCTGGAGCGAAGGTGAGCCTCCCTCTCTCTCTCTCTCTCCCATGTTCCTGTTCAGCTTCCTCGTGTGCTTGTATCAAAATCCACATTCCGTTTATTTTTGCCGTTGATTAGCTCAACGGGGAATTTAGTGATTCGTGAAGTGGTTTATTGACTTCTTAATACTTTGTGTAATGATTTTTTTTGTATTTTGTGAGTATATATGTGTCTATAATTGTATTTTTTCTTGGGTAAAATTCTTTATACACATTATAAGAAGCTTATACACACTATAATATTATTACTATAATAATAATTTCAAATAACACTTGAAACTTATTTAGATGATTAGAGTTTCTTGGAGGTTGTTCTGTAGTTCTCATCATTTTTGTAAATGACTCAAAATTATTCTTATATATGGAAAATTTTCGAAGATTTGTATTCAAGAATACACCGACACCCATTATTTATATCCTTCATGAATGCTTTCAGTAAGAAGGGTGTGTGTGTCTGGGGGGTCCCAGGGAGGCAAGTTCGATCCCATTTAACTGCCTCATTATTGTATCGTAGATACATGACGTGGCTGTGATTTCCTTGTGTATAATCTCTGTGTTTCCCTTTTAAGAACTTTAGTTTTTATGCACCGTAATTTTTCAAACCCGAAACCAAATTGTGTGGTAATTTAAAAATTATTTACCTGAATAAACATTTGAATTTGAATGGTAACTTGATAAACTTTGTTATTCAAATCAACACACACACACACACACACACACACACACACACACACACACACACACACACACACACACACACACACACACACACACACAGACACACACACACAGACACACACACACACACACACACACACACACACACACACACACACACACACACACACACACACACACACACATATTCCCACTACATACCAGCCTGTAACCCATGAGAGGTATCCGGTGTCTCCATTACTGACTATCAATGCTGTTCCTTAAGTCTGAAGTTTTCAACAACCCTTTTTAAGACTTTATTTGACTCATTGCCTCAAGCCTCTATAGTGTTTTCAACTTCCTCCTCAACAACCAACATTTCACCAGCTAAGATAACTTATCATTGGGCCGCTTATATTCCTTTTCTCAGGTGGACTTTAGCAGAGATAAACTGAGTCCGTCTGCTGCGTTGGATGACGTTGTAGTAATGTCATAGTACGCAGTACTATGTACATAGTACTGAAGTCTTAATGGATTCTTTGTGAATATGATGGAGACAGGTTCCAGCACAATCTGGTGGTGGGCACTATCACACACACATCCTGTTTCATTATTTAATATGGGGTTGCTCTCTCCTGCTTTGAAAAACCTGAAAAGCAAGCAAGCAAGCAGGCAGGCAAGCACCCACTCACTCACTCACTCACTCACTTACTCACTTACTCACTCACGCACTCACTCACTTACTCACTTACTTACTCACGCACTCACTCACTGTGTGAGTGGGAGGAAAATAGCCAATATGTAATAAAGTTATGTTTCACATGGACATTATCTAATGGATTTTCAAGTAAAACCGTAATCATTCACTGGGGTCAGGAGAAAGGCCTGCCCCACGCCCACACCCTCCTCCCCCCGCCCCCCGCCGCACGCCCACACCCTCCTCCCCCGCCCCCACGCCCACACCCTCCTCCCCCGCCCCCCCGCCCACACCCTCCTCCCCCCCGCCCCCCACGCCCACACCCCCCGCCCCCGCCCCCTGCCCCACGCCCACACCCCCCGCCCCTGCCCCACGCCCACACCCTCCTCCCCCGCCCCCTTCCCCACGCCCACACCCTCCTTCCCCGCCCCCTGCCCCACGCCCACACTCTCCTCCCCCGCCCCCCCTGCCCCACACCCTCCTCCCCCGCCCCTTGCCGCACGCGCACACCCTCCTCCCCCGCCCCCCGCCCACATCCTCCTCCCCCGCCCCCTGCCCCACGCCCACACCCTCCTCCCCCGCCCCCTGCCCCACGCCCACACCCTCCTCCCCCGCCCCCTGCCCCACGCCCACACCCTCCACTCATGCCCCTCTAGGGCGCTGGTGGCTGAGTGGACAACACGCTGGATACGTAGTCCTGTGGACCGGGGTTCGATTCCCGGCGCCGGCGGAAACAGATTTGACAGAGTTTCTTTCACCCTGATGCCCCTGTTACCTAGCAGTAAATAGGTACCTGGGAGTTAGACAGCTGTTACGGGCTGCTTCTTGTGTGTGTGTGTGTGTGTGTGTGTGTGTGTGTGTGTGTGTGTGTGTGTGTGTGTGTGTGTGTGTGTGTGTGTGTGTGTGTGTGTGAGTGTGTGTGTGTGTGTGTGTGTGTGTGTGTGTGTGTGTGTGTGTGTGTGTGTGTGTGTGTGTGTGTGTGTGTGTGTGTGTGTGTGTGTGTGTGTGTGTGTGTGTGTGTGTGTGTGTGTGTGTGTGTGTGTAGCAGGTGCAGAAGGGCGCATCTCAGAATCCAATATTTTTTAAACAAATGTTAAAATAAAAACATCTATTTTCGGCCTAACATGAGGCCATGATATATCTAGTTAGAAGAGACGAAATGTTTAATAAAAAAGATATGTTAAACAAATTAAACAAACCGAAATAAAAATAAAAAGCAAAATAAAAAAAATCTTAGGGAATCACCAGCTAAAAAAATTACCTCTTAGAAATATTTAGGCCTATTATTCCCCGCCCTGAGAACACCAGCGGCTTGCATCTGGTGTGGTCTATGTCCGTTAGCTGAGCAACCAGGAGGCCTGGTCGACGACCGGGCCGCGGGGACGCTAAGCCCCGGAAGCACCTCAAGGTAACCTCAAGGTAGTCTCTCTCGTTGGCTGTGTGGTACAAGCCGTTAACTATCTTGATAATTAGCGTCCCGTGAACCGTTACTGTTGACGGTAATTACTCTACCATCGTCTGCCCTGACTGCTGCTCGCTGTTGGCAAGCTGTGTTCTTTAAAGGAATAATGTATATTATCTTTTAAGGATAATAATAACAATAGCAATAAAATACTATTACCACTATTACCAATAATAATAATAATACTTTTG